AGGAGTGAAGTGGCCAGCGAGCTGAGCGTCTCCAATAACAGCTCAGCTTCAGCACAGCTGCTGGTCAGTGAGCCAGAGGGGCTGGCTCTGCCATCAGCCGGAGTCTCAGGAACAACAAAAGCTTGAGATGCCAGCAGCAGTGTCTGGGTTCTCTTTGGATTTTCGATGGGGATGACATCACTTGGCCTTTTGTAGATGACTCTGTCTGGAAGGCAAGGTTGGTGCCGCCTGGCCTGTGTAGGTTTCTGCTGCAAGGGATCCGAGAACGTCCTTTTTCTTAATCTTCAGGACATCAAGGACTCCAGACATCGTGGTTTTTCTTTTGCATTATGACAGGAATCAGGAACAATGCTAAACAGTATGGTGTGGACCCTTTCTTGGGCAGTGGAGAGCCGCGTTTTGATTTTCTCTCGGTCTGGTTTATTGGGAATGTTCAGTCCTATGATACAGTCCCTTACTTCAGGTCCTAGTTGTTCACCATCTAGAAGGCCATATCCCAGCAGCTGACTCTCTGAGGCCTGACTTTCCTGGATTATTGAAAGGTCTTGGGTTAACAGTCATTTGGGTCATTAAAGTTTAGGATTACTTGTTGTTCAGCAAAAAGCAAACGGAGGAGGAGCCTGGCATGGTGAAAGTTGTGCCACCTCGGGAAGGCGGCAGGAAGGCAGGAGTCTATGGAGATGTGGGGGCTGAGCGGTGTGGATTTTGAGGTTTTGGGGAACCTCCACAGGAGAGGAGAAAATCAAGACAGGAGACAGATTTAGACAGGAGCAGCCATGCTAGCTGCCCAGTGATGCTCTTGGGTCTTCAGAAAAGCCTCTTCAAGTTTACTTACATTGCTGGGGCTTGATGATTAGAAAAGAAACATGGATTCTAATTGACCCTGAGCGGGGAGTGCTGTGGTATAGAAGTGGAAGAGTGACTGGAAACCGTACTCCTTATGAGTTCTCCAAGACTCCATTTTCTCCTTTTTCCGTTTTCTTTATGTGGCCCCTATCCATGTATAAAATAATGATTGTGATTTCTTTCATATGTTTGTCTTGAGGTGGCTTTCTCCAGTTCCTACTCTGAGAGCTGTGGCCCTAAAATCTTTTGGGGTAGCTGTTAGTTATTTAGCTGCGTTGTGTTCTTACCCTGAAACGTCTCAGATCCTGGTCACGCGAGACGCCCTGACCTGGAAATGGCTATCTTGACCTGGAACTGGCTAGGCGGAAGTGTTCGCCTGGCATATGCAAACACGCCCGACCATGGGGGGGTGTTGTGAACCCTTCAGTAGCAGAAAGGTGATGACCAATTTTCTGTAACTGCTTCCATGTTGATGAGAGCATAGTCTCTGCTTAAGAGGGACCACAAGATTCTCAACCTACTGGCTGGAGGGGTGGGGCATGGCTTTTCTATAATAGGAGTTGATTGGAACCCCTGAATTATAGGGAGTTTAGTTTGAAATTGTTACATGTCCTAGAAGATGCAAATGTTACAACTTTAGAAATGTAAGGGTTAGCCGGGCGGTGGTGGCGCACGCCTTTAATCCCAGCACTCGGGAGGCAGAGGCAGGCGGATCTCTGTGAGTTCGAGGCCAGCCTGGGCTACCAAGTGAGTCCCAGGAAAGGCGCAAAGCTACACAGAGAAACCCTGTCTCAAAAAAACCAAAAAAAAAAAAAAAAAAAAAAAAAAAAAAAAAAAAAAAAAGAAATGTAAGGGTTAAGCAAGAGTAACATGATTATACCAACGGATTGTTATGCCCAGATTGTGACCCCCCAAAGAGACCACCGAAGACCTTGGATGTCCAGAATGCAACAGCAAGGTTTATTCTGCAGATACAAGTCTAGACAGGGGACTCATTCCTACACCCAATACAGTGATGCAGGGAGGAGTTCCTTTTTCTTTGTGTGGCTGGCTATTTAAAGGCAAAAACCATAAGCCCTTCAGTGGGGTTAGGAGGGTTTGCACGGGTGCAACTCGGATTGGTTTATTTTTATCTCTGTTCTCTTTTAATTGGGTGAGGGTATGTAACCTTTGAATTTACTGGTTGGTAGTTACAATTATCACTTTGGGGGCTGTACAGCACAAGTCCCAGGCTTTGTCCTTGAGCCGCCATGGGGGCTGGCTGGCCTAGCACGTCATGCACATACTCTAAATTGGTGAGGGGCCCCAGACAGTAAACATTTGGCTGAACTTTTAGCAGTTAGAGTATGTGCAGAAAGGGAGCTACTGCAAGGACTATGTCTTTTGTTCACAGCCCTCCCAGAGACTGCTTGCTCAGTCTCAGGAAACTGAAATTGAGGCCTGATCTCTGAGACAAGACTGAGCAGCCTGTTATGGCATCTGCTTGGTCCTTTCAGGATGATCCCAGAAGGGCTGGGAACCAGGAAGCCAGTTGTGATTGCTCTAGGAGAGCCATCTTATCCTTCAGTATCCTTCCGCTCAGACCACTTCCTTGTTTCTTACAGAGTTGGTTCATCCATATGACAGTATTGTAGTTTACACATTTATCCTTTGGCCAGAGTTTTCCCACCCACTTTGTACTGAGGTCAGGCTATGTTACAGTGCCATATTAACCTCATTGCTTTGGGATTCTTGGGTTATACCTTAATTCTTGAAGATGCTTATAGCATGTGGTCCAATGGATGCTAAATGAAGAGACACGTATCAGGGCCATTGGGGCAGGCAGAAGCATCTGTCTCATCCGTTCTTAGAGTCTTGAAGATCTGATGGCTGGAGAGCGCCTTCCTACTCTACTCAGACATCCCTCAGTGAGTCTGAGCATGGTCACAGGAGAGTCAGAGACCCTGGCTTGCTTTCCCAGCTCGTTGGCGCTTACTATTTCTCCTATTGGGATTTAGACCAATTGCTTTTTGCCTGCATTCCAGGGCCGTGGAGCAAAATACCTGAATTTTACTTTCTTGTGAGCATTCTGGAGGTTGTTTTTATCTCAGTGTGGTGAAGTCACTTTCCCAAGAATCTCTTAAAAATAAGTGAAAAAACACCTGAACTATTAGACTCTGTGGTTTAGAGGGCCAGCTTGCTTGCGTGAACAGCTTTGGTTTTTGGTCTTAAATCCTTTCAGGTTAAAAGCAAAATGAGTAAATCAAAGCTAAAGGGGATGTCTTTAGCTGGGGAATTGTCTCCATGCCCTTGGGGTTGGGGCTGTTTACAGTGAATGAACAGGGTAGAGACCAGAGCAGTTAGAGTATAACAAAGCCAAAGCAGAGGTAAATAAACCATGAACAGTAAAGTGGAGGGATGATCTCTTGTTAGGTAGTAGCATCCACAGTGCTGGGGAGTCTGGGAGCTTCATCCCAGTCGACCCCATTATCCAGGCAGGTGTCTGGAAGGTGGAAGGAAGACCCAGGCATAGAAACAAATGCTGATAGCACAGGAAGGTCGGGGCGTGGTGGTGCTCTAGGGACCCAGCGGTGCTGAGGACTGTAAATAACCACACTGGGGGAGGGGAGTCTTCATCTTGTCTCTATCCATGGTTGGTGAGAATGTGAGACATTTACTACCAGGGAAACCCACACATCTAGACCAAATGTGGTCCCTTACTGGCAGCTGCTGTCTGAGCTTACATCTGGGCTCAGAGCTGCTGTTGATGTGTACGCTTTTCCACCATGGCATAGTTCAACTAACATCAGTAGAATGGGGAGAAGGGCCCCACACATTCTAGTTATGGGATGCCGTAGCCCTGAGAAGGAAGAGGAAAGGAAGGAAAGAGAGAGAATCTGTTTCCCCAAACTATGATCCGATCTCCTGCAGGGATTTGCTCACCCCGTCTACATGCTCCAGGAAAGAAGGCTGTGTGAGTGCTGGCTGGCAGAAGGGAAGGTCTAGGGTGTGGGCAGGCCAGCTGCTGGCCGGGGTCACCCTTTATCCTCCAAAGCTTGGCTAACTTCCCATCCTGTGGGAGAAGAGTTTGAGGCCCACCCCGGACCCAAACACTTAGCCTGTGGCAGAGAGCAAGGACAGAAAGGAGGGTGAGGAGAGAGAGAGAGGTGCCCCTGAACTAACAGTTTCCATCGCCCTGTGGAAGTGAAGAGGTGGGTGGTGGTGCAGGTGAGGAATGTGAAACAGGAAATAGTACAGGGGCTGGAGAGATGGCTCCATGGCTGCTTTTCCAGAGGACGTGGATTTGATTCCCAGCATCCATGACAGCTTCCGACCATCTGTAACTCCGTCTCAGGGGATCTGACACCCTCTTCTCACCTGTGTGGGTACCAGTTACAAATATGGTGCACAGGTACACATGAAGGCAAAATACTCACACAATAAAGCAAGCAAACAAACAAACACAAATAAGCACAAGCACGGAAATAACACTTAGCTGACCCCACCTCCTAGCTGGCTGCTCCTTAAATGTTGTAGGTGTGGGTCTGAGTCTCAGGACACCTGCTCAAGTTTTCAGGTCTTTTCCCAGTCCCCAGAGAAAGGGACACATGGTTAGAAATAGAAATAGAAACAGAGACAGTTTACTAAGGGAAGCACTTCTGAGAGCGGGGTGGGTCAGCGGACTGAGAGAAAAACCGCACTGAAAAACAAAGGGTCAAGAGATTCACGTCCCTTTGTAGGTCATTTATAGGGCATCCACCTTTCTTAGTTAGGATTTCTATTGCTGTGAAGAGACACCATGACTGTGGCGACTCTTACAAAGGAAAACATTGAATTGAGGTGGCAGCTTACAGTTTTAGAGAATTAGTCAGTTATATTATGGTGGGAAGCATGGCAGTGTGTGGGCAGATATGGTGCCGGCTACATCTTGATATGCAGCAACAGGAAGTGAACTGACTCACTGGGCATAGCTTGAGCATGGATGAGGTCTCAAAGCCTGCTTCCCCAGTGACAAACTTCCTCCAACAGGACCACACCTCCTAACAGTGCTACTCCCTTTGGGGGCCATTTTCTTCCAGACCACCACGCTATCTTTCCCACATCTGTATGTGGTGGGCTTTTCCTAGGCATGCTGTATTTGCTGTCAGCTATAGGCAGAGAAGAGGTTTCAGTGAGAGACCCTGCCTCAAAAGAATAAAGGTGGAGGATGCCTCATGATACAGATTCCGTGAGATTGTTATCCACAGTGGGTCAGGACTTTGAGGTGATGCGATTATTCTGGGGTCACTCATGCTCCTAGGTTTGCTGCTATCTGCCATGGTTGTGGAGGAGGACCTCTTACAGTGGATATGATTGTTGATGAATAGCCTCATAACTGTTTAAAAGACTGCTGGGAACAAGTGACTGTTGAGGTGGCAGGGCTCCCCGGTGCTCAGCAAAGGATCATGGGAATATCATTTCTTCTGAGGTTTATCGAACACAAAGAGGAGGGCCTTGGTACTGGAAAGAATGTAAGCACCAAAGGAGAGGGGTGGAGTGTTGCCTAGCATTTCCCCACTCTGTATAAAACACAATGCCATCTTAGAATAGTCATTGATTTGGTAACTAGAACAGAACAATGGAGTGGTACCCAGGCCTGTGATAGTAAGGGTGGGGCTGTTGACATTCCAGGAGTTGGGAGGAGTCTCAAGATCACTACCTGGATTCAGCTGTTTACACTAGCCCAGCTTCGAATGATCTTGGGAGATGCTAGACTGTATAAGAAGTGGAAGACTAGTAGAAAGTGATACGCCATGATGCCGCTTCCACGGGCTTGCCATCGATGATGGGGTGGGATGATGGTGTTGCAATGGTTTGGGGGCCACCCACATTCCTGTAGGTGATCTCTCACCTGTACTCTGTAAATAAACCCAATAAACAAGCCCTCAGCAAGTTGGGCTTTGGTAAAAACATAAAGTGGAGGATGATTGTCAAGGACACTTGGTGTGAGCCTTTGGCTTACACACATACCCTCCACACACACACAAACACTCAGAGAAATTTTTTATGTTGTACGTACTTTGGTGCTCTTCTCCACTCCAGGCAGTTCTGATACCAATTGCATGCATAGTACTTTTTTTCCTCCCACTTTTGCAGCTTTTCCTTTTTATACAAATTTAGCAAGTTATGGGTGTAGCTCAGTGGTAGACAGTTGGTCCAACACACATGAGGTCCTGGCTTCTATCTGCATACTGAAAAAAGTTATAATTAAAGACAGTGAGTGGTTCCAAAGTCAAACCTGTTAAATGAATATTAATAAACCTGTCAATAAATTAGCTCTGTCTTAGGATCTGCTCTACCTCAGTCCCTCTATTCTGTTAGGTCTCAAACCCTGGGACAAATGGCTGAGGCTCCTATTTAACATATTAAAGCCGACCTGATCAGAAAAATGGGGCCAGTCTCAGAACCCCTGGGGAAGGATGATCCAAATAAGCTGGGATACTGTACTCATGTAGAATCCTCCCAGGTAAAAGCAAAGAGATGGTGTGAATCTGAGCGTAAGGGATGGTGAAGAAAGCATCCTTAGGTCTGGGTCAGTAAATGAGAAGCAGAGGAGGAAATCTGAGAGAGGAGAGCATAGGGGTTAGGGACTACCAGGGGTGTAGGAATAACAGCTGCATTAGTAGTCTTGAGGTCCTGGATTAGGTTTTAGTACAGGCAGGTGTAGATGTAACCGTCTTGTTAAATAAGAAACACAGAGCCAAATACAGAGTTAAAAGCCAAGAGGTCAGAGCAATAGCTAAGAGCTAAAACCTTACCCTTCACTGATGCTGCTGTCCTACCTCTCCATAAGAGACCTACTTCCTGTGTGTTTGTCCTTTTTATTGACTTTCTATTCTGCCTTCTCATTGGTTGTAAACCCAACCACATGACCTCCTCATCACTGCCTATCTGTACAGACCTCCAGGTCTTCTATGGTTGGTATTGAGATTAAAGGCGTGTGTCTCCATGCTGGCTGTATCCTTGACCACACATAGATCTGTCTAGCTCTGCCTACCAAGTGCTGGGATTAAAGGCGTGCACCACCACCGCCCAGCTTCTGCTAGGGCTTGCTATTAGCTCTGACCCCCTGGCAACTTTATTTATTAACATACAAATAAAATCACATTTCAGTACAAATAAAATATCACCATAGACAGGATAGGAGTGTTCTAGGGTGAAAGAGCATGCTTGAGAATACCTGTATCAAGAGAGCACTGTCTGATAGGTTTTAAGCCCTGTCTATGTTTTAGAGGCATATGGTATTGAGAGTGACAGGGGTAGGAAGTAGGGTCCCTGAGTAGGATATTAATAGGAGGATGATGTGAGGCTACTGAGGGAGGGGAAGTGTCCCACACTTTTGGGTTAACAAGGGAGTCTGGTAGGGGGTTGGGCAAAGCATGAATGTTAGTAAGGGGCTCTTCAGAGGCTAGGAGAAGAGGAAAAGTTCCCAGGGAGCTGATTGAAAAGAAAAGGAAAAGTGCAACTTAACCATGACATCTCTGCCCAATGATGGGGTTGGGCCATCAGGTCTATTGAGGAAGGGATGAGCTATCAGGTGGCCCTAGAGTGAGCAGAGGAGGGTTATATAGCCCTTGACTGGTGGGGCTGACCATAACACAGAGATCTGAGAAGGATAAGTTTCACCTGAGTAAGCAGGAAGCATTGACCAAGAAGCTCCCGAATCTATTAAGAATGATAGAGACTTACAGGTTACCTGAAATCCAGATTACCGTGGAGGAATTACCCTCTGCACTGGGGGCAGAGGTTCCAGGGCACAATCAGTCTTTGGCTGCCAGGCCCTGAAGATCCAGCAAGACTTTCCTGTGGAGGAGGAACCTGGGGGACTGGCCTCCCCTGTCTAGGTGAAGTGGGGCAATCAACTCCCCAGTGTCTTGCTTGTCCCCAGTTTGGAGAGGGTCCCAGTGGCAGGGAGGTGAAGGGCAGATTTTCACCCCATGGTCGGCTTTGCCACATTTGAAGCAAGCTCCAGGTGGAGCTCGCTCTTCAGGGCCCCATCATCTTTGGAGGAGGGGATCTTAAGGCAGCTGACAGGAGCTGGCACGTCTCTCTGTCATGAGCAGCTTTATCTTTTCCTGCTCCTCCCTTAGATGCCACATTCAACAGATATCTCTGGGGAGTTTGAGAGCTGCCATTCAGCCTTTTGAGTTTCTTTCTAACAACAGGAGCTGACTGGCAGAGAAAGTAGGAATTGAGGCCGAGCATGCCCTCTTAAAAATTAGGCTCTAGCTTTGCGTTCAGAAGGAGGGCCTCTGTAAGTTGGGTGAGGAGCTTGGCAGAATTATTTCCATCCAGCCTCTGGGTGACCTCCTTCAATTTATCAAAATTAGTTACCTTGTGACGGGCTCTTTGAAGGCCAGCCAGGAGGCAAAGAAACATTTTGCCTTCGGCTACCCTGCCTGGGGACTGATTCTCTGAATTAACCTGGTACTTCCAGTGGGAGTCTGTCCAGGGAACTGAGTCTGTGGGGGAATCTCACCTGTGTGGGTTTGAACAGCCAACCAGACCTTCTCTCTCCTTTTCCTCAGGGATGAGAGTAGAGGAAAGAATAATATAGAGGTCATACCAGGGGAGGCCATAGGTTTGAGTAAGGCACCTGAACTCTTTGGTGGCGTTAGAAGGGTTGGCAGAGAAAGAACCAGGGCGCCTTTCTCCCTGGGAGAGGTCAGCCATAGAAAAAGCGACATGTACATGGAGGAGGCCATTAGGACCTGCCACTTCCCTTAGTGGGTAAAGGCCATCAGTGTGGGAGCAGATGTGAGCTGCGGGAGGTGATGAGGAGAGTGTAGTTGAGGGGAGTTAGGATGGTGGCCGGGAACCAGCTGAGAGGGGGCAGGAGGATGAGGTTGAGGCTGAGGGAGAGCGTTAGGCTGAAGAGGTGCCAGGGTGTGGCCACATCCTCTGTATCAAGGTCAAAAAGAGTAGAAGCAGAGGGCTCCGGGTCCTGGTCAGCTGCAGGAGGGGATTTGCCTTTTGTCAGGAGAACCTGGTGAACATAGCATGAGGTACAGAGGGAAGGGTGAGGACAGAGAGTGATTCAGACCATTTGCCCACGTGTTGGCACCCTTTGTCAAGATCAGTGAGGATTGATTTGGTAGTCAAATTGCCATCCTTTGGGCAAGAGAGACCGAGTGTCGAGTTTATACCGTGGCCAGGCTGTGTGACAATAGAGACTGAAGCCGCGAGGCTTTATGACGTCACTAAATCTGAGGGTGTGTTGAGACTTGAGCAGACCAGCAAGTGGAGTTGAGGGCTGTGGTTTTGAGTGGGAGTCACCCACGGTCATAGAGTGTGAGGAGGAGAGCAGGGTGCTGGCGGTGGGGGAGGTCCCTCTGCAAAGGGAGCAGAGGTGGGTAAGTGTGGTGACAAGAATTTCAGTCTGGGGCCCCAAAGGGCAGAGCTGAGAGATGTCCATGTGGTGGGCACCCCAAAGGGTGTAGCGGGCTCCAGGAGCCAGAGAGAGGACACTTACCGAGTAGGAGAGACCAATGGTTAGGGCAGGTGGAGGAGCCAAACCCTAGAATTTGGAGTCAAATACGCTGGGTGGCAGAAGTCAGCACTGGCGAGTGAGCCATGTCCAGGAGGGAAAAACCGGCGGTTTGCTTCAGCTAGGAGAGGCCAAGGCCCTGGAAAGGGGAGCTCATGTATGCCTCTCCTGGGTCTCTGCACCCGATGAACGAAAAAGAGAAATAAAAAGGAAGGGCCTGCCTGCTCCCAGATATGGTGGAGGAGAAAGTTTGTTGTAGATAAAAGGGAGAGCACAGCCAGAGCCAGAGACATCGGGGAGAGTCCAGAGTGGACATGACCCTGAGCCGCGTGAGGAGAGGGGGAGGGGAAGGGAGAAGGGAGAGGGGGAACCGGGTGCAGTAGCCAGGAGGGCGGAAGGTAAAAGGGGCGGGTAACCAAAATGGCTGGGTTATACAGGGAAGAGGCTTTTGGGAAAGGCATCCCAGGAGGGGTACCGCTTTGCCAGAAGGATGAACGGATGCTAGATGGTGCCATGTATTGGTGACCACTTTAATCATGCATAGTGAGAGATTATTTTTTGATTTACCAGTTAATTTGCCTATGAAATGAATAAAATGAACTGAGCTAGGTGAAAGGAATCATGATACTGTGTGTTAAAATGAACCTGCCCTGTATTCTGCCTCAGTTGGATTCAATGACTTCATCCTTGATTCCCTAAACCTGAAGTCATGGGACACCCATCAGAAACTGTTCCGGTCACCCTGTTAGTGTCTAAACCACAACCGCAGAGCCAGCCTCGTGGATGACATGGGGGTGGGGGACTGGAGCCACTCCCATCCACACAGTGGGACAAATTCTGAATGGATTATGAACCTACTCATCTGAAATGAATTAAGTAAGTACTCAAAAAGAGCATGG